AGGGGGAGGGGGGGGGTGTGGGGTGTGGGGTTTGGGGTGGGGGTGTGTGGTGCTAAGGAGGAGGGGAGGGTGGGAAAGGCTCACGGAGGGGGTGCGTGGGGGAGATGGGAGGAAAGGAGAGAAGACAAACAAGAACAAGAGAAGAGAGGGGAAAGGAGAGAGTGCCGAACAATGGGAGAGAAGTGAGGGGAAAGGATTTTCAACTTGCCCCCTCTGCAGCGCAGCATCTGGACTGGAACAAGGAGCGGCTCGTGAGACATTTGCAGAGACGGGAAGACTTTTTGTCCAGACTTATCACATGCTATTTGTGTCCAGGACTACGTCTTTATGAAGGATTGTAAGTCTCGTTGGTTCCTTTATCCACTCCACACCCTAACTCTCCGCTCCCTTTTCTCCACGGAACAGCCTCCTATGGCTATGCATAGCGATTATCACTATTCCAAACTATAAGGTTAATTGCTTCTTTATTAACTTACGCAGTTAATTATACGATTATTTAGTATTAGTTCCCCTCTTCTAGAGCATGGATGCCTCTTTCGTCGGTCAATGGTGTACTTGATAACCTGAGCTTGTTATTTAATAATACAATCTAATCAGTCTCTCTTACTGACTTGGTCGCCATGTTGAAAGTCAGCTTTTCAAAACTCGCCTTACCCTGGAGCAACAGTAGCACCACACCAAAAGGCTCCGCTAATAACGGCGACAAACACGGTGACAGCGGAGCAGCACCGGACAGCAAGGGAACTACTAGTTCAGACCCTCCTGCTACAACCCGCGGCCAATTACAGCCCAGTGCTTCCCGACGTTACTATTCCCACGGCGGCGCCAGCGGCGGCGACGGCGGCGGCCGGAGTGGTGGTACCACGGGAAGCAGCGCCGCGCCGCATCCGAAACATTCTGATGCGGACGAGGCACGAGACGCCACGTCAGGTGCCTTCACCAATAGCAGCAGCCTAGGAACCGGAAGCGGCGGAAACGGAGCGAGCCAGCATCGCCGGCAAAGTAGCAGCGGAGCCGCGAGGACTCCGCGCGGGGTACCGAAACACAGCACCGCGGACTCTGCAGAATTTCACGCGCCTGGCGGAACAAGCGGCCGCGACCTTTCCGGCGGCGGCGCCGGCGGCAGTAGCACGACTAACAGTGCTTCTACGCCCAGAGCCGGCCACGGTGGTCGCGGCGGAAGCGCGGCCGGCAGCGGCGCCGCTGGCGGCGCCAGCGGGTTCGGTCTGGTGGTCACCCAGCGGACGGCGCGGATAGTTTCCGCGGACGAGGAGGCGTGCTGGGCGGTGGGCATGGAGCGGGAGGAGCTGTTGCGCATGTCGCTATTCGACCTGGCGGAGAAACTGAACACGGCGGAATGGGTGCGCGCAGTAGAAGGCATGAGCGCAAAAGACAGGCCGCGGGTTATCGTCCGCTTCCGCTTGATCCAGCCCAGTAACCACCGCGGCGGAAACGGCGGAGGGAACGGTGCGCTCTCCAGTCGCCGCGTGGACTGCGAATTGCAGGAGCTCGTTCCCAACGCCAAGGCCGTGCGCGTTCACATTGCGCCGATTCCGCCGGACTCCCCTGGCGGCGGAGGCGGAGGCGGAGGCGGAGGCGGAGAGAAGCCAGTTGCGCCGACCACTCCGCGCGCGGGCTTGTCGCACTCGAAAACGCTGTCGCGCGCGGAGACGACGTCGTCGCAGCAGGCGCCGTCGTTGTCGCACTCTCACACGCTCGCCCACTCGCCCTCTAGCGTCAGCGCGACCGCCGCCGCGTCCCTCGGCGGAAAGCAAGGCGCGTCTCGCGTCACCTTCGCAGAGGAACACGGCGGAAAAGGCGGCGGCGGAAGAGGCGGCGGCGGAAGCGACGCGGGGGACCACGGCGGGCAAACGAGGGAAAGAGAGCGAGGAAGGCGCGGAGCGGCGGAAGCGGGAGCGGCGCATGGGGGGAAGCTGGGTGGGGTCGGCTCTGCAAGCATGAGGATCCGCGCGGACGCGGAACGGGGGGGAAAAGGGGGGCGGGAGGAGCGCGGAGAGCCTGCAGGAACAGCGGAAGGAGCAGGAGCAGGCGGAGGAGGAGGAAGCTTAGCTAAGAGTTTGTTTGGTCTGGGTTCTAAGAGCAAAAAGTTCGAACACATGGTGGTGATGGTCCCTGGGGATCCCGCTGACGCGTGCGACAGTCCTAGGGGAACGAGAAGCGCCAGTAGCAGCGCTAAGAGGTCGGGGGGAAGCGCAGGGGGGGGCGGAAGCGCAGGGGGAGCGGGAGGGGGAAGCGGGTCGCCAGTGCCGAAGCTGGAAAAGAGCCGCAGCAGGGTTGATCGGGGGGGAGGCGGAGGCGGGGGGAAGACTCCCTGTGGGCGCATGGACGGGGGGGACAGCTGGGGCGGAGGGGGAGGCGGTGGTGGAGGAGGAAGGGGAGAAGGGGGGCGGGGGCAGCAATATTATCACGCGGAGCCGTCCCCCCGAGGTGTAGCGCCCTCCCCGCGGCTTGGAGGAGCGGGGGCGAGGAGCTTCCGCGGAGGGGTTGGCGGAAGGAGCGGGGGCGGTGGCGGAGCCGGGGGAAGGGGAGGGCGGGGAGGAGGGGGAGGAGGGGGGAGAGGCGGAGGAGGGGGAGAACGCAGAGGAGGCGGGGGAGGGGGAGGAGGCGGAGAGTGGGGAGAGGAGGAGGATTGGGAGGAACCCCTAACTCTGGAACGGAATAAGAGCTTTGCAGGTACAAGCGGGCGCACGGGCGGTATGGGCGGTGGTATGGGCGGTATGGGCGGAGCTGGGGGGGTTGGTGGGGCGCAGGGGAGCATGGGCGCGCCGTCTAATGCGTCCAGTGGAGCCAGCACGCCGCGCGGCATGAGCTGGCGCTCCCGCACCGCCCCTTCTGAAGGCACCACGTTCACCGTGCAGGACACAGCAGCAGGTAACAGACAGTGGGGCGTGGCGGGACGAGGCCGGGGGGGTTCGGTGGGAGGGAGGGACTCGGCGGTTAACCAGCCGTATCAGCAGCAGCAGGATCACCACCATCATCAGCACCAGCAGCAGCAGCAGCACCAGCAGCAGCAGCAGCACCACCAGCAGCAGCAGCACCAGCAGCAGCAGCAGCAGCAGCAGCACCAGCAGCATCAGCAGCATCAACATCAGCAGTCGCAGTGGCTGCAGATGAAGGAGCAGCAGCGAGCGCAGGAGGAGCAGGTGAAGCAGGAGTGGAAGGGGCAGCAGAAGAAAGCCCAGGCGCAGCGCATCCTGCAGAGGCTTAACTCGGAGCGGAAAACTGCAAGCTCTATGAGTGAGCATGAAGCGGAAGAAGGGGAGGATGGTGGAACGGGGGGAGGTTGGCAGGGTATGGGAGGCGTTCAGCAGCTTCACCCGGAGCAACAGCAGCGGATTCCGCCCCCACCCCCCCAGCAGCATCAACAGCACCAGCACTTTCAGCAGCAGCAGCATCAGCCACTGTACCATGAGCAGTATCAGGAGCAGCAGCAGCAGCAGCAGGAGCAGCAGGCATACCAGCAGCAGGGGCAGTACCATCAGCAAGAGTACGGCCGTTCGCCGCAAGCAGCAGGGCCCTCTATCAACTCCCCGCCTCCGCTCTCGCTGCCGCGGGGTCGTCCGAAGCAGCTGCAGGTGCATGAGCAGGAGCAGGAGCTGGAGCAGGGATCGCTTGATTCCCCTGTTTCCGGTTACCAGCACCCGCACATGCAGCAGCCACCACAGTTCCACCCCCAGCAGCAGCAGCAGCAGCAGCAGCAGCGAGGCGCTATGCTGTCTGGAGCAGGTGCGCGGTCATTTCGTGGTGGCAGTGCCTCTGCTGCTGCTATGCCTGGCGGGCCCTCTGCTACCTCTGCATCATCAGGAGGAGGAGGAGGAGGAGCAGGAGCGGCAGCAGGCACAGCATATGGAGTTCCTCCCTACACACAGACAGCAGCAGGCGCAGCAGAACCTGGCCCAGTACCATTGTCTGCCAGGCAGGCGTATGCCAGATCTCCCGCAGGCCAGGCGATTCCTATTCAGGTGCCGTCACCAGTGGGTCCTTCCCCACGTGGCCCCTCCCCCCGTGGCGCGTTCCTGAACGGGCCTGTCTCGCCGTCTATGCTCCACGCGTCCTCGCCAAATGTGCCTTCTGTGGATAAGCCCTCCCCTCGCAGTAGATTGGGTGATGCTGCTGGAGGCAGGCAGCAGCAGCAGAAGGCGTGGGAGCATGGTGGGGGATGGGGAGGAGTGCAAGTGGTGGAAGAGGAGGAGGAGGAAGAGGAGGAGGAAGAGGAGGAAGAGGAGGAGGAAGAGGAGGAGGAGGGCGAGGGTGCGTGGTTGGGCGGAAGTGAAGGCGTGGAGGAGGGAGGGGTGGGAGAGTACAGGGAGAGCCCAGGGGGAGTGGCAGTGCGGGGACTAGCAAAGGACCTCTCTATTCAGAGCCACGAATCGGACGATGCAGTGGTTGCAATCGCTCTGCCTCTGCTCTCCCCCAGCGAGCTTCTGCACGCTCCCTCCACGCTGCCCCATCTCTATGGGCCGTCCCAGAAATCGCCCCGAGCTCTTACGCGCGCTCACGCTCCACCGGTGCCGGTTCCGGGGGAGATTAGGCAGGGGAGAGGAGCAGGCGCTGGGGCAGGGAGGCGGGGGAGTGTGGAAGAGGTTGGGGTGGTGTGGCAGGGGAGTGAGCAGGCTGTAAGAGGGGAGAGGCCGATGGGGAGAGGTGGGGGTAGGGTGGGGAGGATGGGCGGGCAGAGGAGGGTGAGAGGGCCGGATGAGGAGGAGGAGGAGGAGTGGGGGAGGGATGGATGGGAGAGAGAGGAGGGAGGGGATGAAGGTGGGGAATGGATGGGGCAGACCCATCAGCAGCAGGCGCAGCGGCAGCAACAGCAGTGGCAGCAGCAGCAGCAGCAGCAGTAACAGCAGAAGGAGCAGCATTGGCAGCACGAGGAGGTGGGGGAGGAGCAGCAGTGGCAGCATGAACAGGCGGGGGAGCAGCAGCGGTGGTATGAGGCAGAGGTGCGAAGGAATGGTGATGAAGCTGATGTGGGGGTGCAGATGCCTAAGGATGGGAGGAAGAAACTCAAGAAGGGGAACTCGGGGAAGGAGAAGGGGAAAAAGAAACTGGGAAAGAAGAAAGAGAAAGTTGGTGCTCCTGCCGTGCAAGATCAGGTGGAGGAGGGGGAGAGGCAAGGAGGGGAAGGCGGGGAGGGAGAGGAAGGAGGGGAAGGAGGACACGAGAAGCAGGAGCAGGATGGAAATGAGCGGCATGGTCGCGAGGAGAGAGCTGGGTTGAAAAGGAATCAAAGCGGAGGAGAAGACGAGGAAGGGGGCACAGACCAGGCCAGAGGCAGTAAGCAGGTTGTCTCGAGTGGGCAGAACATGGCAAAAAGGGGAGAGTCGGAGGAGGAAGAGCAGGAGCAGGAGGAGGAGAAGATGGGTGGGAATTGCGAGTATGAGCAGGAGGAGGCTGAGGAGGAGGAGGAGAGAGATGAAGGGGCAGCGGAGTACCCTAGGAGAGGAAACGGGAGGCAGGAGGTCAGGTGGTTCTGAGGGACTGGTGAGCAAGGAGGGGGGGTGGTGAACGCAGTTGGGGCAACAGGGAGGGTGAATCGGGGAGAGAAGAGGTGGGAGATGGGAAGGAAGCGGAGGAGGGGAATGTGCCTTGGAAGGGAAGGGAAGCAGAAGTGGAAGGGGAAAGAGAAGGGGAAGGGGAAGGAGAAGGGGAAGGGCATGGGGTAGGGAAAGGAGAAGGAGAAGGAGAAGGAGAAGGAGAAGGGGAAGGGGAAGGGCTGGAAGAACAGGAGATGCAGAGTCGTTGGGAGAGGGGAAAGGAACTTGAGGGGGGGCCAAGAGGGGGGGTTCATGTATGGAGAGAGAGAGAAGGAAAGTTAGGGGCGGATAAAAGGAAAGAGGAGGTGGGGGGGAGTGAGAAACGGCAAGTTGTGGTGGCTGGTGAAGGTGTGCTGAGGAGAGAGAGTGTTGACATGATGGATTGTGCCTGGGCCGGGATGGCAGAGGAGGAGGAGGAGGAGGAAGAAGAAGAAGAAGAAGAGGAAGAAGAGGAAGGGGAGGAAGAGGAGGAAGAGGAGGAGGAAGAGGAGGAGGAGGACAATGAAGAGGAACAAGAAGAAGAGCAAGAGGAGGAGAAGAGGGTAGTAAAGGAGGAGGACGAAGGGGTGGTGGAGGAGCAGGGGGAAGAGGAGAAGGTGGTAAGCAAATTGGAGGGCGAGGGGGAAGGGGAGGGGGAGGGTGAGAAGATAAGGGAGGAGGATAGCAGGTGCAGAGGAGAAGGTGGTGGGGAGGGTACGTGGAAGGGGAAGAATGGAGTGGTGGTGGAAGAGGATGGTGAGGGAGAGTGGGGACGCGAAGGGCACGGAGAAAGGTATAAAGCGGGGAGGTTTGGCAGCAAGATGAAAGAATGGGACGACAGGCATGGTTCTGATGCAGTCAGCTATGATGGCGCTGGTGATGGTGATGATGATGGTGATGGTGATGGTGGGGAGGTTGGGGTGCATGATGGTAATGGGCATGAAATTTGGCATGGTGGTGGTGAAGCTGAGAGGCAAGAGGTGGGTCATGAGCAGGAGGATGTTGATGAGGGCAGCGTGAAGGTAATGGAGAGAGGCGGGGAGGGGAGAGAAGGAGGCGCCAAGGCCATCAGCAGCCCCCATGGCCGTGTTGGCCTGGCTTCACTCCATGCGCATTCCCATGCTGATTCTCATGGTGACAGCGATGGGCGTTCAAATAGAGCCATGTCTGATGGCGATGGTGATGGTGATGGTGATGGTGATGGTGATGTTAGGGAGAGTGCACACATGTATGCAGACGCGGCGGGCATGGGTCATGACATGTCGGGGCGGAGGTGGGGGGAGGAGGAAAAGGAGGGGCCCGAGAAGTGGGAGGAGAGGGAGCATATGGAGGAGTGGGGGGAGAGGGAGGCGTGGGAAGAAAGGGAGGAGGGGCATGATTGGGAGGAGAGGGAGGAGAGGGATCAGTGGGAGGAAAGAGAGGAGAGGAAGGAGGAGGAGTGGGAAGAGAGGGATGAGAGGGAGGAGGCGGAGCAGGGGGAGGGGAGAGAGGAGAGGGAGGAGAGGGAAGAGTGGGAGGATGAGGAGGAGGAAGTGGAGGAGGAGGAGGAGAAGGATGGGAAGCGGGCAGAGGAGGACATTGATGGGGAGAAGACCAGTTACAAGGAGGAAGGCACGTTGGATGAGGTAGGGGTAAGCAAGGGAAAGGAGGAGATGGATAGTGACGAGGAAAAGGCTGGAGAGAAGGATGGAGAGGACGAGATGGGAGGAGAGGAGGAAGAGGAGGAGATGGGAGGAGAGGAGGAAGAGGAAGAGATGGGAGGAGAGGAGGAAGAGGAAGAGATGGATGGTGTGTCAAGGTTGCCCGTAGCATATGGGCGAAGGGAAGAGGAAGAGGATGAGGAGAGTGTCATATGTGGGAGTGTGATAGTGCATGACGACAGTGACAGGACCCCCCATGCTGCACACAGCACTGGAATAAGCGGGGACAGCAGGGGCAGCGGGGACAGCAGGGGCAGTGGTGACGGTGGGGAGAGTGGGGAGAGTGCAGGGGTGGTGAGCAGCATTCACCAGCCTACCAATGCGCCGCCTGGGCATCTATCCTTGTCTGCTGGCTCGCCTGCTGCACTTCACTCTCGCCACTCCGCTACCCACTTGGCACCGTCTCTTCAAGCCCTCTGGCTGCCGTGGCATCGGTACGTGTGTGATGGGCGTGTGGTGGGTAGGTGGGTGGGTGGGTGGGTAAGAGGGAGAGGGGAAAGAGCAGGGAATGCTCATTGGGGTTGGCGATTGATCCGCCAGTGTGAGACCGTGTGTGTTCCTGTAATACAGTGTTGAAGGAAGGGGATGCCACCTCTGAAATGCTACCTTTCATTTTTACGAGTCTCAGATATTACAAGGATCCTCACTGCTGCCCCCTCTCTCCCTCTCCCCTCCCCACATCTCTCCCCTCCATCTCTCCCCTCCCCACATCTCCCCCCTCCATCTCTCCCCTCCCCAAATCTCTCCCCTCCCCACAGCTGCCTATTAGACGTGGCAGGCATCGGTCTGCTCACCGTGCGCTGCTCTTCCTCCTCCCCATCCTCCCCATCCTCCCCCTCCTCCCCTCCCTCCTCCTCCACAACAACCGCCCGCATCGGGCGCTGCAACGCAGCTCTCCTCCGCATGCTGGGATCGGCCGCTCGCCCTCCTCCCTCCCCAGCTGCTCTTCTCTTCCCCCAGGCCAATCTCTCTGCTGCTTCTGCGGCGGCTGCAGCAGGTGTGGCAGCAGCTGGGGCGGAGCGTGGGTTGGTGCATCAGCTGGAGATGGGGCTGTCGGGAGAATATGAGGCGCTGCCGCTGGTCACTCTGCTGCACCCACGCCACCGAGAGGACACATGGCCGGCTCTAATGGTACGGTGGAGAGAGTCAAGGGGAGTTTAGGAGTGTCTCACCACTGCATTCTCATATTCCTCCTCCGCCTCCTCCTCCTCCTCCTCTTCCTCTTCCTCACCCAAGCCCCCCCTCTCGCACTCACTCATTCCACCTTCCACTTCCACCACATCCTCTATTTCTAACATGCTTCTCATAAGGATTCTAAAACATTACTCCCTTCCTTGCCCACCTTGCAACACAAGCAACTCTTTACCATGTCCCCACGCCCATGACCACCCTGCCCCTCCCATCTCCCCTCCACACACCCACCCTCTTCCCTACTCTATGCACGCCCTGACTCTCTCACAGCCATGAACCCGTGTAGCGCTGGGTGAAGCCAGCACGAGCTTTGAACCGTCCAAGTATTCAAACTTTGAGAAGTCTCAAGACGTGACCCCCCACCCCACCCCACCCCACCCCACCCCACACCACCCTCCCCCCCCCCCCCTTGCAGGCCCTGATTCTCACAGCCATGGGCCTGTGCAGCGGAGGGTCAAGCGAGCAGGAGCAAGCACCAGTGGAGCAGGTTCTGGGAGAGCCGCTGCTCGCATCCCTGCAGCATGCACACGGCCACGAGGTGCATGTGGCTCTCTCCGTTCTCCCAGGCCCTCCGGAAATAGGGAACAAGGAGGTGGAGGAGGTGGAGGAGGAGGAAGGGAGTGATGGTGATTGCGAGGATGGGAGTGGAGGTGATGTGGGTTGGAAGACAGGGTATGGTGGGGCACGTGGGAGGGGGTCTGGCGGTGGTGGTGGAGCGACGGTGGTTCTTGTTGTGCAGAACCTTCAACTCGCTGACATGATGTTTTAATATGCTTTGCGTTGCGCTGTATAAATAGTGTAGGGCGTCTTGGTGTAGGGCTAGTAATAGTGTATATTTTTCGTTATGTAGTCCTTGCATGAACTGTAGGCATTCACAAACAAAACCACATGGTCCCATGTGACTGGAACGTCTGCCTGGTTTCTGCGGGTGATAAACCACACTAAACCGCGTACAACGCATCATCACCTCCTACCACCACAGATGTTGGATCTGACCCTCCCCTCACCCTTTCATGGCCGCGCTCTGCTTGTCTTGTGTGAGTCACCACCACGGCACCATTGCACAGCCATTATTATTTCCCGATTTCTGTCTTCACACTCGTTAGGAGTTAAGTGCGGTCTCGTCCCAGCCACATTCGCGCTCCAGTCAGGTGCCGGATCGCTGATCGCTAGGGGCTTTGGTTGCTGCCGAGGCGACCGGAGGGCGTTGTCGCTCGGCGATCCTGTGCGACTTGACCCGACGACGACTTAAACGACTCGTGCGACCGAACAACCGGGACGAATCCATGGCGGATCTCTCCGCAGAGCTTCGACCATACGAGGAGCGCGCGGCGAAAGCAGAGGTACTTTACTGCGGCCGTTAACGCTCTTTTATGTAGTTTTCCAAGAGGTGTTACTCCTTGTACTCTCTTCCCGTGTTTGCTTTTTTATTTCACCTATCGCGGCTCGCTGTTCCTCATTCGTTCTAGCACGCTCCTTCGATCTCCCCACACCTCTCTCCTCCGCTCTTCCCCGCCTCTCCCGCTCCCCTCCCGCACACTTTCTTCCCCCCTCCACTTTTCTTCCCCCCTCCACTTTTCTTCCCCCCTCCACTTTTCTTCCCCCCTCCACTTTTCTTCCCCCCTCCACTTTTCTTCCCCCCTCCACTTTTCTTCCCCCCTCCACTTTTCTTCCCCCCTCCACTTTTCTTCTTCCCCCCTCCACTTTTCTTCCCCCCTCCACTTTTCTTCCCCCCTCCACTTTTCTTCCCCCCTCCACTTTTCTTCCCCCCTCCACTTTTCTTCCCCCCTCCACTTTTCTTCCCCCCTCCACTTTTCTTCCCCCCTCCACTTTTCTTCCCCCCTCCACTTTTCTTCCCCCCTCCACTTTTCTTCCCCCCTCCACTTTTCTTCCCCCCTCCACTTTTCTTCCCCCCTCCACTTTTCTTCCCCCCTCCACTTTTCTTCCCCCCTCCACTTTTCTTCCCCCCTCCACTTTTCTTCCCCCCTCCACTTTTCTTCCCCCCTCCACTTTTCTTCCCCCCTCCACTTTTCTTCCCCCCTCCACTTTTCTTCCCCCCTCCACTTTTCTTCCCCCCTCCACTTTTCTTCCCCCCTCCACTTTTCTTCCCCCCTCCACTTTTCTTCCCCCCCGCCGCACGGTCCTGGGGGCGTCAGGAGCGGTTGGCGAAGCTGGAGGCAATGGTGGGATCACTAGGTGAGCGCCCTTTGAACTGAAGTCGTTTGGAGATGTGCATGGAAACGCGAGTGCTTACCGCAGGCGAGTGGAAGGGCGAGAGGAAGAGCTTGAGCGTGAAAGGATTTGTTGCTGCACTGGGAGGGAGGGAACCGAGAGGTTGATGATGAACGCATGATGCTGCCTGCACTATCTGGTTCTTCACAATCCTTTGATGAAACCTACCGGCCTGACTTGTAGAATGCTCTGTCCGTCAACTAAATTATCACTCACACCACCAAAGCAAGGACGGGCAGAGCATTCTACATGCCAGGCCGGGCCATGCCATGCCATGCCATTCCATGCTAAACGCCTGATTCTTCTGCCTCCCCGTCCTCCCTGCCTTGTTTGCGCCCGTACCCCCCAACTTCCCTCACCCTCCCCTCACCTCTGCACCGCCTACGCGCCTCGTCTCTGCACCGCGCATCACCGCACTTCACCATGGCACTGCACCAGGGTCGTCGGCGCTGGTGGCGGATGAGAAAGCTGCGCTGGCAGCGTCGTTGGAGGCAGTAAAGGCAGCACTGGTGGGGGCTAGGACGCACGTGCAGCAGGCCGTGCAGGACAGCGCACAGGTGACTGGCGGAGAAGTGGTGATGAGGGTGGTGATGGGGTGGTGGTTTGGGGGAAAGTAAGGCTGTGGTTGGGTGGTTGGGATGGGCGTGCGGGGTGTGTGATTGGAGCGTTATGCGGTGAGAGGGGGTCTGATGGGGTGTTGGTGTGTTGGAAGCTTTTGGCGGGGCGATCTGAGGGGATGGTGGGGGGCGGAATGACGTCATAAGGATTGATCTCCAGACTCCATCCGGTTCAATCAGCCACCATGCGTACCCTCCGTTGCGGTGTCTCATCCCCTCTGCTCTTCACCAGCTGCCTTCGCTGCTGCCTGCATCGGGTGCACCGATGCCAACCCCCTCGTATCCTTTCGCATGTCGTCTCTCTCCTTTCTACCTTGGACACCCCTCATATCCCTTCTCGCATCCTTCCCCCCTGACTCCCACCCCCACTCCCCCCCTCTCCCCTTCTCCTTTCCCCACGTTGCCCTTTCCCTTTGCCCACACTGTGTCTTCCTCCTGCGAACGTCTGTGTGCAGGCACAAGCGCAGGTGGCTCAGCTGAGTGAGGAGAATGCAAAGCTCAAGTACCGAGTGCTGCACCTCTCACGCGCCCTTAGAGACGCCGACGCCAAGCTCGCTGCCCCTGCTTGATGCTCTCCCTCTCTCTGTTCGGACTGGGCGTGCCACCTGACATATAGCCGCTGCGTGTGTTTGTGTTATTGGCGTGGTTGTTTGCATGGTGGGTGGGTAGCTGCGCGTAACATATGTATGTATGTATCCATGCATGCATGGTTTGTCCTAATGCGCCTTAGTGCTGCCTTGGTGTTGTGTTCAGAACAGGGCATGCAATGGTGAGTGGTTGTTGGCAGAGCAAGCTAAGCCTTTACCGGCCAGATCGCATATCCTACAGTTTGTTTTGTAGCCTGGCAATGACTGACAGGAAACTACGGTACTAGGGAAAAAAAAAACCCTACGGGAAGAAAACGACTTATATCTGATCATATTCTAGTCATTGCCACGTATACACTGCTTATGGTAGTAATCTCCGTGTCAATTCTTGCGCGCCATAGGGCTCCTGCTCTCTTCCCTCCCTCCCACACATCCACATTTCTTGAAGCCTGGTCAGTGACAGTGCTTGAACCAACGCGTGCTGGAGCATGGTGCTTGTCAGCCATTGTCAGTGCTGCAGTGCAACTCAGTGCCATATCCACCATCAACTGAGGACCACAGCAGGATGGTATGGGCCATGAGACTAGTCCCTGTATGAAGCCGGCAGCACGCGCACACATTCCTACCAAATCACCCAATTCTGCACACCCACAACCCTTTCTTACAGCACCACACACAACCCTTTTCATCATTCCCTCCCTCCCCCACTCACTCACTCCGTTCCCCACTCACTCCCCCACCACTGGACCCTATTCTGATTGCATTCGCCACCTCCTCCTCTAGGTCATGCCCCTGCGCGTCGTCAATCTCCCGGTCAATCCGCCTCGCCATCTGATCCCCGGTCGCACCGCAGACCTCCTCGCGCAGAGCCTCCAATTCAGCCAGCACTTTGATCATGTTGGGGCGGAGCACAGTGGGCATGGCGGTGCAGCTGAGAGCCAGGCGTGCCAGGCGCAGGATGATGTCTGGTGGGGCGTCCAGAGAAGGGTCCTTGAAGGTCACCCCGTCGTTGGCTGCTATGAATGGTGCCACCTGGTGGGTGCGGGGTGTGGTGTGGGGGGGTGGAGTCAAGCTTTGCGGCGTCTCAAGACCAGGGCATGGAAATGAGCTGGAGCATGGCATGAGCACGGCAAGAGCATGACGAGCATGGGCATGTGCAGGAGGAGCATGAGCAGGGAGGCGAGGGAGGGTTGGCATGACATGCACGGACCCATTGCTTGAGGTTGATCTGGTTGTCCTCCGAGTTGTAGATGGCCTTGCGCGCCGTCAGGATCGTTAGCATCACCACTCCAAAGCTGGGAATGCGGAGGGAGGTACAGGAGGTACGGGGAGGTACGGGGGACACAGGAGGCACGGGAGAGAGACGAAAGGACGGGATATGACCAGGGGATGGAAGGGCACAGCAGGTAGTGCAAGATAGCGACACATGTGAACTTTTGAAATAGAAGCTTTGTGCAAAAATCAACCACGCCTCCACACATCACCCTTAACTGCACACATCGCCCATACCTGTGAACATCAGCCATAGGAGTGGCCTTCTGAGACTTGAAATATGCCGGGTCCACATAGCCTGGTGTGCCCATCACCCGCGTGGCGCCCACTGTTGTGCCCTCACCCATCCTCACAAGCCCAAAATCAGCTACCTTTGCCTGCCGTGGATGGGACGTGCAGCCGAGAGGGAGCAAACGAGGGAGGCAGAAAGAAGGAGCTGTTTTCATTGCGTGCATGCTGCTGCCTCAGAGCATGGGAGCTGCACCGCACGTGATGCAAAGCACATGTCAGCGTGCTTTGCGTTTGCCTGTGACAGCTCAGAGAATCACATTCAAGCACACTGAATGGAGTTGCGTTGCACAGACACTATGTGACCAGAGCTCAGCCCACTGACCGACCTGCATGTTGCTGTCAATGAGGATGTTGGCGGGCTTGATGTCGCGATGCACGATGCCAAAGCTGTGCAGATACTGCAACCCCTCCGCCACTCCGATCATCACATCCAAGCGCTGCAGCAGAGAGAGCGGCTGGGCCGCACCTGCAGCAGGGAAGAACAAAACAACAGCAACAGACAGGGAGGAGGACGTACAGTGAGTGACGGGTTGGGAATAACTACCCAAATGAGTGAGCTCCACGTGCCGGTCACCATATGAGAGTAAGGCAAGCATGTGCTCGTGCAAGTGGGGACAGGTGAAGTAGCACACAAGCAAGCAACAAAACGCACCAGGGCCGAACCAGCAAGCACGTGGACACAAACATACCAGGGCCGAGCCAGCGTTCAAGGTCCCCGTTGGGCATGAACTCGTAGATGAGGATCTGCTCCGTCTGCTCCGTGGCCTCGTTCACGTCGATGCAGAACCCCAGCAGCCGCACCAGGTGTGGGTGGTGCTTCGATGCCATCTCGTTCACCTGCACGTGCACACGTGCAGGCGGACGGCCGGGAGGAGGGAGGAGAGGCAAGCAGCACGGGAATGGAACATGGCGACGTAGAGAGGTGGTGTTTCGAGATGTCTCAAAACTTCAGGGGCGGTAGAGGAGGCGAGGTTTTTTAGAAGGGATGGAGCATGGAGAGCTCGGGAGGTGGCTGAGCCTGGGTTGCATCATGGTAACCATCATGGTCACCATCATGGTCACCATCATGGTCACCATCATGGTTACCATCATGGTCACCATCATGGTTACCATCATGGTCACCATCATGGTTACCACCATGGTCACCATCATGGTCACCATCATGGTTACCATCATGGTCACCATCATGGTTACCATCATGGTCACCATCATGGTTACCATCATGGTCACCATCATGGTTACCATCATGGTTACCATCATGGTCACCATTCGTGAGCCCACGTCAGTAGCTCCCATCCCGCAATCCCCACCTCCCGTAAGTGGTATTCAAAACACTTCGTATCAAGCAAGAAAAAAGCCGCGTCACACACACGCACACACTCTAACATCCCCACCCACCTCCCGTCGGAAGTCATTGGTGAGAACCTACTCATTTATCAAACATGGAAAAGTCCCCACCCGCCATCTTCCGCCCCATCTCAACCCCTGCCCACCTCGCGGCGGAAGTCGTTGGTGAGCACTTTGGCGCGCTTCACAGCCCAGAGCGTCGACGGATCAGCGGGGTCGTGAGCGCGGTACACATCCCCAAACCCCCCGCTGCCGATCTTGTTGGCCTCCGCCCACATGCCCGTTGCCGCTGCCAGCACGTCCAGCCGGTACTGCCGGCACACCGCCGGCCCCGCTGCTGCCCCCGCCGCTGCTGCCGCTGGCCCCGAGGGACCCTTGGACCCACTCGCACTGCCTGCAAGGAGGAATGGGAGGGAGAGGGGTGGGGGAAGGAGGTAAGCACGTCCAGCCGGTACTGCCGACACACCGCCAGACCCGCTGCCTGTGCTGGCCCCGAGGGACCCTTGGACCCACTCGCGCTGCCTGCAGGGAGGGGCGGTGGAGAGGGGTGTGAGAGAGGTGTGAGAGAGGTGTGAGAAGGGTGTGAGAGAGGTGTGAGAGAGGGTTGTAGTTGTACAAGAGGAGTGGGCGGAAGAGCTTTGTTTTTGAGGCGTGCGGTGATCAGACCAGACTTGAGCGATCTTGTTGGCCTCGGCATGTTGCCCACATGCCTGAGGCCGCTGCCAGCACGTCCAGTCGGTACTGCCTACACAACTTCGGACCCTTCATGGCCCCCGGTGCTGCCTGTGCCGACCCCGAGGGACCTGGAACCACTCGCACTGCTTGAAGGGAGGAGTTGGGGAGAGGGGTGAGGGCGAGGGTTGAGGGCGAGGGTTGAGGGAGAGGAATGGGCGGAGGCGTTTCAAGAGTGCTGGTACTTCGCGTGATCTTAGAGACATCTCAAGAGCACATCCTCACAAGTCACCGTCCTTGTCCTGCCGGTTAACCGCCAGTTAAGCTTACTAAGAAACACCATGCGTGACCATGCGTGAGTGACCATGCGTGAGTGACCATGAGTGAGTGACCACGCGTGAGTGACCATGGGTGACGATGCATGACCGATGCGTGACCATGCGTGACCATGCATGCATGACCGTGCGTGACCGTGCGTGACCATGAGTGACCATGCGTGAGTGACCATGCGTGAGTGGCCATGCGTGAGTGGCCATGCGTGAGTGACCATGAGTGAGTGACCACGCGTGAGTGACCACGGGTGACGATGCATGACCGATGCGTGACCATGCGTGACCATGCATGCATGACCGTGCGTGACCGTGCGTGACCATGAGTGACCATGCGTGAGTGACCATGCGTGAGTGGCCATGCGTGAGTGGCCATGCGTGAGTGACCACGCGTGTGTGACCATGCGTGACCATGCGTGACCATGCGTGACCATGCGTGACCATGCGTGACCATGCGTGACCATGCGTGACACTGTCATATTCCCGTACCCGAGGAGAAAAACAATTCCGGACCAATCACCACTTAGCTGACTGAAAACGACACTTTTGAGAATCGAAAGTGCCTTCCGTAACCTTGAGGAACCCACCTACCACTCGAAAGGCCACTAACCATACCACCCCTACGTACCTGAAGCACCAGCGCCAGCACCAGCAGCGGCTGCAGCGGAGGCAGCAGCTGCAGCAGCGGCATCATTGTCGAGCTGTGAGAACGGCTTTGGTTGTTTCCGTCGGCGGAAGAAGAGCAGCGGCAGCAGCAGCAGCAGCGCGAGCACGGAGACACCCGCCACGGCAATCCCCGCAATGGCCCCCACCGACAGCCCCGAGGAGGAAGGAGGCGGGGGAGAGGGCGATGGAACGAAGGGAGGTGAGGTAGGAGGGGGAGGAGGGGGTGGAGAGGGCTGAGGGGAAGGAGGAGGGGGTGATGGTGAACGAGGGGGAGGTGAGATGGGGGGAGTGGGTGGTGGGGGTGAAGGGAGTGGTGGTGGTGGGGAGAAAGCTGGAGGGGGGTGATTGACTGGTGGTGCTGGTGGTGGGAACTTGACCACATCTGCAATACAGCCAAGGGGAGGACGATGTTGGCGAGGGAGGGGGCGTTGGGAAGGGAAGAAAAGCGGGGTATTGAGGAAATAAAGGGAAGCTGAGCACAGTCGCAAAGGAACAGGGGAAGAGACATGTGCAGATGGGAGATGGGAGACGGGATATGGGATATGGGATATGCGATATGGGAAATGGGAGATGGCAGATGGGATATGGGAAATGGGAGATGGGAGATGGGAAATGGGAAATGGGAGATGGGATATGGGAAATGGGAGATGAGATATGGGAAATGAGAGATGGGAGATGGGAAACGGGAGATGGAGGAGTTGGGAAGTGAGAAGTTGGATCAGACCCAACATTGCCCACTCTACACACCAGCTAACTCCCTCTGCAGGACTTTTAGAGATGCCTCAAGAAATGAGCTACGAACAGGTGACTCACTCTGCAGGAAGCAGAAGATGCAAATTCGGAGCACTTGGTGCAGTAGGGCTCGGCACGATGATGCTGTTGTGGGTGAAGAGATGCCCTTTGAGGAGTCTAGAAAGGTTGTGAGTTTAAAGACGGTGTTGAGGGACTCACTCAGCAGGAAGCAGAAGATGCAGAAGTCGGAGCACTTGGTGCAGTAGGGCACGATGATGCTGTTGCCCGTTGCTTCCATTGGTGCACACTGCACCTTCTCACTCGGTGGACATGTTACCAACCCTGGGGGTACCTGCGGCGTGTACTCTCTGAGAAGGGAGAGTGAGCAAGGGAGGAGGAAAAGGAGGACCAAGGGGGGGGGGAGGGGGGGAGGAAGGAGCAGAGGGGGATGGAGCGGAGAGGGGAGACGAGAGGTGTCTGGCGAAACTGGTTCTCAGAAGGAAGGGCGGAGAAGGAGGCGAGAAAGGGAGGGGGAGCTGAGTGGGCGGGGGTTATAAAGGTGGCCATACGGAGGGAACTACTGGTGCGTACAGGTATTCGAGCTTGGTGAGGGCGATCATGGAGGCAGGTAGGTAGCCGGTGAGCATGTTCTGCGACACATTGCTGCCATGGCCCGTGCCGCATGCAGGGTGGATGGACGGAGGATGCACAGCGAGCGAGCGGCACCACCACGGGCAGCATTGGCAGCACCGTTGGCATGGTGGAGGAGGAGACGATGGGTGGGGCGCGTCAACACACATACACACACATGCACGGCATTGTGGAAAAAGGGATGTGGGAAGATGCGGATGAGATGGGAGGGAGAGCGAGAGCGAGAGCAAGGACGCAGCGTGAGTGAAAGACAAGCAGGCATACAGGCACGCGCATTGAGGGCATGGATGCAGCAGATGCTAGTCAAACAGGTGCCTGCCGA